ACTCCCAAGCAGTCCATTCCAGTACTGAACTGCTCTTACTGCCAAGACACTCTTCCTAATGTTTAGGCAACATCTCATTTCTTGTCATTTGAACCCATTATTACAGTCCTAGTGTCTGGAGCTAGAAAAAACAAGCTTGCTCCATCTTCCACATGACAGCCCTTCAAGATATTTGAAAACGGCTATGACCTCCCGTTCTTTTTCTTCTTCTAATATATATGCTTTTTTAAAAAATACAGAATTTTGTTTCAGTTCCACTTGATCAGGGTTCTAACATTACCTCTGGAGGTGTTTATCCTAAGATAAAGAAAATTCTGGAGCAAGATCTAGTGCCACGCAGGAAAATTTACTTTTTTGAAATAGGCACACACAATTGAAGCAGAGCTTGGAAATCAGCTGTAATGAATTATTTACTTATAATAAAATTCCTCCTACAATACTTAACACATAACTAACTTATATTAATAATAAAGAATAACATCAGTATTTTGTGTTGTAACTATCTTAGTTATTTTTATAGTTCCAGGAGATGTAACAACTATTTTGTATCACAAGTCAGTGGCTTGCAGCATTTCAATAAGTTTTCCTCCGTCCAAAGTAACTAAAAGGAACGCCTAAGAAATTTTTTGTTTTCACACAAAAGGAAAGAGATAGTTTTTTTAACTGTAATTATAGCAATAATGAACAATCCTTTGGCTTTAGAGCTGTAACTAGTTTAGTTTTTTAAAGTAAATTTCAAAATTTAAAGATGGTGATTTAAAATTTCCATTCTATGCACACTTACCGTATTTGCCAGCGTATAAGACGACTGGGCATATAAGACGACCCCCCCCCAACATTTCCACTCAAAATATAGAGTTTGTTATATACTCGCCGTATAAGACTACCCCCTCTTCCGCACACCTTCCACACACCAAATAAAAGGTGCTATTCATTGTCACCACTGTACGGGCCGCAGCGCGACTGCAGTACCTCCAGCCCACGCCTGCATCTCCCTGTGACCGGCACTAGTGCACACTAGTGCACAAGTGCGCATATGTGAGCTCTGCGTAGACAAGGGGCGGGGCGGAGCACCACTGCTTCCCGCCAAGCACAACATTCTTCTTCTTCTTCTTCTTCTTCTAATATATATGCTTTTTTTAAAAATACAGAATTTTGTTTCAGTTCCACCTGACCAGGGTTCTAACATTACCTCTGGAGGTGTTTATCCTAAGATAAAGAAAATTCTGGAGCAAGATCTAGTGCCACGCAGGAAAATTTACTTTTTTGAAATAGGCACACACAATTGAAGCAGAGCTTGGAAATCAGCTGTAATGAATGATTTACTTATAATAAAACTCCTCCTACAATATTTAACACATAACTAACTTATTAATAAGGAATAACATCAGTATTTTGTGTTGTAACTATCTTAGTTATTTTTATAGTTCCAGGAGATGTAATTGTATCACATTAGTTATTTTTATAGTTCCAGGAGATGTAACTATTTTGTATCACAAGTCCGTGGCTTGCAGCATTTCAATAAGTTTTCCCAACCCCATAAATTAATAATTGCTAAAATATCCTATTGTTAACAGTTGTGCTTAGCTCTTGTAAACTAAAGGCAGTGGTTTCTTTTATTGAGACAATCCATCTCATGTGCACACTTCCTCTCTTCCTGCTGCCTTCAGGTTTTCCCAACGTTACAGTATTGTCTTTTCCATTGAGTCTTGTCTTCTCACAATGTGTTTAAAGTACAACTGCCTTTGTTTAGTCATTTTGTTTCTGAGTTCAGGCTGGTTCCATTCAAGCAGCTACTTGCTTATATTTCTGGCAATCAACCTGTTAAGTTATCCTCCAACATTACATTTTGAATGAAGTGATTTTTTTCCCCGTCAACTTGCTTCATTGCAGTTTTTCACATCCCTACACAGTAATCGGGAGTACCATAGCATAGATGTTAGGTCTGGTCTCCACTGACACTTGTGCACCTGATTACCTATTCTAGTTCCTTCACGGCCGCCCTTCCAAGTCTCAGTATTCTCATTAATTGGCTGCACTCTCCTTTTGGACTGATAACTTAATCAAAATACAGAAAAAATTTAACAATTTCACTTTTTATGCTGTTATAATTAGGTAAAGATTCCCCTTGACATTTAGTCCAGTCATGTCCAACTCTAGGGCGCGGTGCTCATCCCTGTCTCCAAACCATAGAGCCAGCGTTTGCCTGAAGACAGTTTCTGTGGTCACGTGGCCAGTTCATCTAGACATGGAATGCTGTTACCTAAATAGGCAGTACCTATTTATCTACTCTGTTGGGAGCTGGGACAAGCAACAGGAGCTGTTATAATTAAAGTCATGTAATTCTTCTGTAGTCATTACTTTTGCCTTCTTAAGTAATCCTGCTTTTGCACTTTCTTGTTTTACGTTAGCTAGTTGTCATTTCAAGTCATTGCTGCTTTCTGCCATATTATGATTTATCTACATATGGGCCAATGTCTTGTTGCTTAGTGTAGTAAATCATCCTCAAATAGGCCTTCTCTAACTACCATGTTTCCCCGAAAATAAGATCTTCTTGGAAAATAAGCCCTAGTATATGTGGGGCAGGAAGCAAGTTAGAACTGGATATGGAACAAATGATTAGTTCAAAATTGGGAAAGGAGTATGACAAGGCTGTATATTGTCTCCCTGCTTATTTAACCTCAGATATGCAGATGATACCACTCTGAGGGCAGAAAGTGTGGACGAATTAAAGAACCTCATAATGAGAGTGTAAGAGGAGAGTGCAAAAAATGGTCTGAAGCTCAACATCAAAAAAACTAAGATCATGGCCACTGGTCCCATCATCTCCTGCCAAATACATGGGGAATATGGATCTTGGGCTCCATGATCACTGCAGATGGTGAGAGCACCCCCGAAATTAAAAGATGCCTGCTTCTTGGGAGGAAAACGATGACAAACCTAGACAGCATCTTAAAAAGCAGAGACATCACCTTGCTAACAAAGGTTCGCATAGTCAAAGCTATGATTTTTCCAGTAGCGATGTATGGAAGTGAGAGCTGGACCATAAAGAAGGCTGACCACCAAATAATTGATGCTTTTGAATTGTGGTGCTGGAGGAGCCTCTTGAGAGTCCCCTGGACTGCAAGGAGAAGAAACCTATCGATTTTGAAGGAAATCAACCCTGAGTGCTCACTGGAAGGACAGATCCTGAAGCTGAGGCTCCAATACTTTGGCCATCTCATGAGAAGAGAAGACTCCCTGTTGGGAAAGTGTGAAGGCAAGAGGAGAAGGGGACATCAGAGGACGAGATGGTTGGACAGTGTCATCAAAGCTACCAACATGAATTTGACCAAACTCCGGGAGGCAGTGGAAGATAGGAGTGCCCGGTCTAGTCTGGTTCATGAGGTCACAAAGAGTCGGACATGACTTAACGACTAAACAACGATTTTTCAGGATGCTCGCAATATAAACTCTAACCCCAAAATAAGCCCCAGTTAAGTAAAATCTCGCCCTCCACCCTTGTGTAGCAGCCAGAAGAATACATGGCTATTTGAATAAATGTACAGTAGATTGGTGTACATGAAAAAAAATAAAATATCCCCTGAAAATAAGTCCTAATGCTTTTTTTTGAGCAGATATTAAGGAAAAAATAAAATATCCCTTGAAAATAAGTCCTAATGCTTTTTTTTTTTTTTGAGTAAATATTAGCTACATAAATAAGACAATGTCTTAGTTTTAGGAACACAGGGTATACAAAAGGATACTGTAATTAGAGTAGGCCCAGATGAATCCATGAAACTTACAAAAGAGTTGGCTCACCAAATCCCCCTGGATCTATAGGCCTTTCTAGTACAATTTTACTAGGCTAAGCAACAGATTTTGGCCACTATGTTTTCTTCCACCAATTTTCACTCCTCCACCTAAATCTAAAGAATCTACATAGAGTCTGTGGGATCTACTTTTAGATCCCAAAATTAGAGCGGGACCTTTGTTTGAAAGCTTTTCTTGCTTGAAATCTGGATGGGAAAAGTGCGGTTGGAAAGCAAGAGTTTGCTTAAAGTTCCTGAGGAGGAGTAAACTGAAATTTGAATCTGGGTACCCTGTCGCTAATTTAAAAGAGGAAGGGGGTGACCAAGGGAAAGAATGAGGTAACTAACAGAAGAGAACATCAATCTTCCTGGGAAACCAACCCTTCCGTCTTTGCAACTCTTCTCTTTATTATCTAAGAATTGCCTAAGAGCACGTGCAGAGGCTTTCAGCATAAACCAAACTAACGAGCAGAGATTCAGCGTCCTAGGCGGATGTCCAGAGAGACCGCCACGAAACTCCTATTTTAAAAAATGACGCAGAACTCGATTGCTAATCGGAGTACGATCTTGTTTACTACCCGCCTCAGAAACGCACCCACTCTGCATATGCTCGGAGGCACCGCCTTCTTCAGGGCGCAGACTCCAAAAAAACACAGGTGCTTCTTTGGGCCAGTCGTCGAGTTTAAATGAAGAAGCGACACGGGGATTTACTAGGGAGGCTGAAGGGCGCTGTTGTTGTTTTTTATTCCGGATTAGCTACTACGGATTTAATTCGGCTCATCTGCTTCATTCCGGCAGTGGCCCCTAAAGCTGGGCGGGGAGGGAACGGGGGGGGGCGAAATGGCGGGAACCTCGCCCGGCAGGGGGCGCAGGATCGTCGCCTCCCATATTGTTTGCCAGCCTTTTGTGTTTGCACGTACACCTCCTCCCCACGCCCCCCTACCCAAGAGGAAAGTATTTTGCAACCGAATCGAACCGAAATTGGCTGGCTAAAAAAGGCTCTGAGGATCGAGGAGGGGTGGTCTTTGTAGGGATCCCCCTTTGTTACCACTACGATTTGGGGGAAAGATGGTTGCCACTGTCTCCTCTGTCCCTTCCACCACCCCCTCCCCCGCGATCGCCTCTTCCCGCCCCTTCTC